TTTACTAGCTGTGTGACCCTGGGCAAGTCACTTAACCCCACTGCCTAACAAAGAAAACAAACAAACCAAAAAAAAAAAAAGAGAGAGAGAGATAATCAGGGAAACTATATTTTTCTCTGATAAAGACCTCATCTCTCAAATATATAGGGAATGGAGTCAAATTTATAAAAAGTAAAAGCCTTTTTCCAATTGATAAATGGTCAAGAGATATGACCAGGCAGTTTTAAGAAGAAATCAAAGCTATGTATAGTTATTTGAAAAAAGAAATGCTCTAAATCACTATTGACTAGAGAAATGCAAATTAAAACAGCTCAGGTACCACCTCACACCTATCAGAAATTACAAATGCTGGAGGAGATGAGGGAAAATAGATATACTAATGTACCATTGGTGAAGTTGTGACCTAGTCCAACCATTCTGAAGAACAATTTGGAACTATACCCAAAAGGCTATAAAACTGTGCATACCCTTTGACCCAGCAAAACCACTACTAGGCCTGTACCCCAAAGAGATTAAAGAAAAATAAAAAGGACCTATATATACAAAATATTTATAGCAGCTCTTTTTGTGGTGGTAAAGAATTGGAAATTGAGGAGATATTCATCAATTTGGGAATGGATAAACAAGACATAGCATATGATTGTGATGGAGTTGTTGTTTTATCCTTCATTTTTTTTTTTTTTTTTGGTAAGGCAATTGGAGTTGTGACTTGCCCAGAGTGACACAGCTAGTGAGGTGTTATGCGTCTGATGCCAGATTTGAACTCAGGTCCTCTTGACTCCAGAGCCAGTGCTCTATCCACTGTGCCACCTAGCTGCCCCTTGTCCTTCATTTTCAAAGAGGTGACGTCTTGACTTGTGCATGAATTGGATTTAAGTGAGGCAGAATTACACAAAGTCATCAGCCCTACTCTTACTTCCAGGGTCATCAAAGTCCAGTGGCAAGACGAAAGTCAGGATGACTGACAATGGCCTGGGATGCAGTGGATGACCTTGGTGTCTTTGATGTCTGACCAAATTCTAAGTGCATCATATTGCCTGCTTCAGTTGCCTTCATGGCCATTGGAACAAACTGTTCTCATCTGCCCATTCCACCTTGCGGCAAATCTTCACATGTTTGGGATAGATACTTCTGTAACTCATGGATGGATTTGAGGCCCTTTGGTTAACCTTCAACCTCAGTTGGCCCATATGGGTTTACCTGGGTGTGTCCAATGTGCATGCTGCAGCTTCTTAAAGCCACAGGTGAGAGTTTAGTACCAGGTGGACACCAAAGGTGGATGAGCAGCCCTGATGAAAAGGGCTCAGCAAGACCTCACACCTGAAATGCTAGCCTTTCTTGAATACTCCATACCTCCTGATTGTAGAGTACTCTTGTGCTATAAGAAATGACAAGGGGGATGGCTTCAGAAAAAAACATGGGAAGATCTATATGAAGTGATGCATAGTGAAATGAGCAGAAGCAGGAGATCATTGTATACAGTAACAACAATACTGTAATGATGATCATCTGTGAAAGTCTTAGCTGCTCTGATCAATATAATGATGCAAGAGTCATGATTAAAAAAAAAAAAAGCTATCCACTTCCAGAGAGAAAACTGATGAATTCTTAGTGCAAATTGAAGAATACTTTTTCACTTTATTTTTCTTGCTTTTTTGGTGATGTGGCTAACACAAAAATATATTTTGCATGATTTCACATGTATAATTGATATCATTATGCTTGTCTTCTCAGTGGATGGGGAGAAGTAGGAGAGGAGAGAGAATTTCAAACTCAAAGTTTTAAAAAAGAATGTTATAATAAATAAATAATGAATCTGGTATTTTTTTTATTCTGTTTTGACCTTCCTCCACTCCCAAAAGAAGAAATGACCCTAAGTTACAGTGTGAAGAATTTAAGTCAGCAATAAAGACTTCATTCATAGTTATACAGGGAGGCTGTAGGATCCTTTCCTGGAGAGCTTGAAAAAGATGTTCTTTCCTTATTTATTTAGGATGACTTAAGAATACTTCTATGATGCAAAATGTAGACTGCAGAGCCAAGAATATAATATTTGCAATGACTAAATAACTAGAGTTTTTTTCCTTTTCAGGGATTTGACACCTATTTTTATTTTTTATTTTTTTAAGTTACAAGTTGAATTTATTATATATTTTTTAAAAAGCAAATTGAACATAATAAATGTCTATTAAGTAAATAGAGTTTGAATAGAACATATTTCATTTTGCCTTTCCTGCTTCCAGCCAACCATGTGTATGACTCATCGCTGAGCAGGCTTGGTGCTTTCAAATGACAAGACAACCCCTTTTTCTGGTTACTGAACAAGAAGACCAGATGACTTAGTTACCTTTAAAAAAAAAAAAAGGAGTAACTTTAACTCTGGCCCCCTCTTCCTTTAACCTTCTGGGTGACATCATATAGGAATGGGACCTGTTGTAGAAATGGTGGGAAAATAGCAACTTTCCCTTTTCCCTACCCTGGCTTCCATGTGGCCATGAACACATGGCAGCTAAAATCCATTTCCTAAGTAGATGATGCTGATCATGAGTTTTGGACTCGCTATTTTGTTTTCTTCTAATGTGAATGAGCATTAATCCCAAAACAGAAACATTCAAGCTTGCAGGCCATTTTGTGGATCCACTAGAGGTTTAGAAATTCTAGATCCTTTGACTGGGGCTAACTGGTGGCTGGGGGACAAGCCTTCAACAACTACTTTAGCAGTTCTTGGAGAAAATGACTACCAGGAGGATGAACCCAACCCCTGGTACAGTTTGCCAGAAGAGAGATAATGCAGGGGATACGTAAAATGTAACAATGCCTATTCAGTGGTCCCCCCAAAAATCTAATGAAGCCTATTTATGTTTTTGTATTTAAAATTTCACTTGAGATCATTAGAAACAGTAGGGGAAATGACAAAACCAAAGATAGGAATCAATTGTGAAATTCTACACTATGCATCTTTTTGCTTTCTTTAAAAAATACTTTTTTTTTTTTTTAAGGGGCAGCTAGGTGGTACAGTGGATAGAGCACTGGCTCTGAAATCAGGAGGACCTAAGTTCAAATCTGGCCTCAGACCAAACACTTGACACTTACTAGCTGTGTGACCCTGGGCACTTAACCTCAATTGCCTTAAAAAAATTTTTTTTAATTCTGAACTTAACAAATATCCCAAACAAAAATGAGTATTTTTACACAAAGAGATGATTCTCTATGAAACCATGAATCTTTTTTTGTGTACTGATTATTTTTAAAAATATATAATAAATTCAACACATGACTTTTAACTCTACTGATTCTCTCTACTTCTATCTTCCTATGTACAGTTTTTTTTAAACGTTTCAATGGCACTCAACTTTTTTCTTTTTATTTTTTGGTATCATCATTGCTATTGCCTTCTCTACAATTAAAAACAGAAGGATAAAATAATTATAACAAATAAACATAGTCAAGCAAAACAAATCCACACACTGACCATGGCCAGAAATGTATCCACACATCAGCTCTCTGTCAAGCGGGGGAGGGAATATACTGCACAGATTTTCTAGAGATATGGTTGGGCATTGTTTTGATCAGAGTTCTTAAGTCTTTAAAAGCTGTTTTTCTTCTCAATGTTCTTAGTTGTTGTATAAATTGTTCTCCTGGTTCTGCTCACTTCATTTTATCTGAAATGATCTCTTTCATTATTTCTTTAATCATGTTATATGTCATTATATTAATTTACCATAATTTGTTTAGCTCTTCTTTAGTTGACAAACTTCC